TTGCTGGACATTTTGCTTTATTTCCACTTTTGGTTATTGTGAATGCTGATAGGAACATTCACGTACAAACTTTTGTGAGGCTGCATATGTTCAGTTGTCCTAGGTATATACCTAGGTGTGGAATTGCTGAATCACATGATAATACAACATTTAAATTTTTGAAGAGTTGCCAGACTGTTTTCCAAAGTGGCTACACCATTTTACATTCCTCTCAACAGTGTATAAGTGTTCTAATTTTCCCACATCCTTGTCAACACTTCCTTTTGTTTGTCTTTTTGACTACAGCCATGCCAGTGAGTGTGAAGTGGTATCTCATCTTGGTTTTGATTTCCATTTTCCTAATGATGGATGATGTCACATTTATTCTTTAAATGAAGAGGGGAGGGGATAAGGGCCAGGAAAACTGGCCTAGTAGCTTTACTTTCTGTTACTGTGAGATCAGGGTGGTAAGGAATACAGCAAGGGAGGGTCATTAGAATTGCTCAGGTAAGGGGCGCCTGGGTGGCTCAGTCGGTTGAGCGTCCGACTTCAGCCAGGTCACGATCTTGCGGTCCGTGGGTTCGAGCCCTGCGTCGGGCTCTGGGCTGATGGCTCGGAGCCTGGAGCCTGCTTCCAATTCTGTGTCTCCCTCTCTCTCTGCCCCTCCCCCGTTCATGCTCTGTCTCTCTCTGTCTCAAAAATAAATAAACGTAAAAAAAAAAAATTAAAAAAAAAAAGAATTGCTCAGGTAAAATAGAATATTAATACTGTTGATGATAATACCACTAAAATAATAAGAGCTAACAGTGCCAGGCCCTTTTCTAAGTGCTTTTTCATGTTATCTCACTTAACACCTGGAACACTCACACCTCATATCTATAGGAGTAACTCCTTCTTCAGAAGCATCCTTGGAGGATTCCTTCAAGGGATATTGTATCTTTTTGTTCTGACACGGAAACTTTTTTTTTTCTTTTGTTCTTCTACTTCTCATCTCTTTATTTTTCTTTTCGAACAGAGAGAGAGTTGAAACAACAGCCTCACTTTCTTGTCTGTAATCAAAGTTATAAATAAACTATTGAGTTAGAGACCAAGTGGCCTATTACAACAATATGAACATATAATATAAGCACATAAAGGTCATGAAAATGACTGCTTTGATGATAATTACAAAAACAGTAACGATTTCTATGGTTCATAAAACTCACACATCCATAGTTGTATTCATCATCCCTGTTGCCTAATCCCAATGAATGGTTCAAGCCAAAAATGAAGACTGTCTTTCCCATCTCCCTCTCTATGAACACCCACATTGTGTCACTTCCTATTACTTTGACTTTCTGTCTATGCCTTAAATCTATCCATTCTCTCCCTCTCCATTCCAACCCTTGTTTAGGCAACCATCATCTTTCACCAACTAT